ATTGTATACAGTTTATACCGAATTTCATAAAAACTATTTTTATTCAGGAATACTTTTTCTAATTCTTCTTATGTAGTCTTCAAATTCTTTAAAGGTAATTTTAATGGATTTGAGAGAAAGAAGTCGGATTATTTAAGTAAACAAAAGGCTAGCATGAGCTAACATGTTTTACTTTTTGTGTTAGTAGTATTGATCACGTATTTGTATTTCAAACTGATTTGTGTTGTGTGTATAAAAACAGAACAAAACAAACAAAAAATATATTCTGTTTGGTCACATTTTCAAAGAGCCGCTGCAGAGGGACCAAAGAGCCACATGTGGCCCCAGAGCGCAGGTTGCAGACCCCTGGCCTACACAAACATCAACTTACTATTTACTTTTGTGTGTTTATGTTGTGTGTGTGTGTGTGTGTTTCAGGTCAGCAGGTGTCTCTGGCTGCACGCCAACAGGTGAGGCAGGAAGTAAGAAGCTGTCCCGTCATCAGGCATCAGCTCCAAGAACTCTGCGGGGCTCGTCTCCATTGCAATCACAACCAGTGTCTCTGTAGGCGTGAAAAACGACGACACTGTTACGATGCAACACGATACTTTCACTTCAGACCAACAATGAGGGAAATAAACATTAATTATTCTTTGACTGAAATTTTTTTTTTTTACCATTGAGTGCGCTCAGCAGGACGCTGCTGTCTGCTGCTGCTCTCGTTCGGTCACAGAGCTCAGGGAGCAGCTTCTGCCACCACAGAGCCTGTAAAAACCAAACGGGTCAGACAGAAAGCACAAGAACAAAACTAAAACAATAAAACAGTCCCCACGTTTCCCCGTCTTCTCCCATAGACACACCATGTGCTTGTCTTGCAAGTGGTGGTTGGCGTAAGCGATGATGGCCTGAGGACATCGGTCCAACAACTTCTCCATGCTGCTGTCGTACTGCCCCCTCCTGGTGGCACAGAGGAGGTGCAGGCTGAAGCCCCACAGGGTTTCCTCTGACAGAAGCTCCATCAGAGGCAGGATGGTTCCAACGGAGAGGGATGGACCGCACAGCAGCGACTGCAGACACACACACACACACACACACACACACACACACACACACACACACACA